GGAGAACTCCAAGCGAATTTTCATGAGAAAACTCCGTTGAATATGTAATGGACAACTCTGAGGTCTTCAGAACAACTTGAAAGTTCCCCAAATATTCCTGAAGTTAATGAAACTGTCTTGAAGTTTTTTTGTAGTTTGAGAAACTAGCCTGATGTTCGCAATACTTCTCATCATTGTTTTTAAGTTCTCTAAACTTTTTCGGACTTCCTAAATTTTCCACAATTTTCCTAACGATCATGAATCTTCTCTAAAGCTTTAACAATTCACTGAATTTCTCGAAACTTTTTTTAAAATTTATATAATGTCGCTGCTTTGGAATATCTCTGCTCTGAGGATATCTGTTCTTTCTTGAAGTTTTTTTTTGTTGAGATTTTTAGCGAGATCAATATCTTTCTTGAAGTTCTTGAAACATCTCTAAAGTGTTTGCAGTTCTCATGAAGCTTGTTGTACTATCCTGAATTTAATTGAACTTTTCTAAAAATGTTTACGCTTCTGTGAACTCTAAACTTATGTGAAAACCTCAATAATTTTCTTAGCAACTCCAAAGTTCTCTGAAAATCTGGGAACTTCTCGAAATTTTCCGCTAATTAAGTGAAACTAATGGAACTGAACTCCCCTGAAATTCCCCTTGTTTTTGAGCTTTACTAAACTTATTTGAAATGCTCCCGAAATGTCCATATAAGTTCCTGAAGTTCTCGGATCTTCCCTTAAGTTCCATAGACTATTATGAAGTTCTCGAAATGTTTTTGAAGATCTCTGTACTTTTGTGAAGTTTTCGAAGTTGTTCTGAAATTTCAGGAACTTATTTAAGCTCCCGCAACGAAATAATATAGTTTTAAGAATTTCACTGAAGTTCTCAATATTTGTCGATTTTCGAAACTAATTCATGGTCTTCAATAGTCTTGAGTTTCCTGTTGTTTTTAAAACTGCCCAAAATATTTCTTAATTTCCTTAAAATTCTCTAGACTGCCCTGAATATAAATTTTTTTAAGAACCCGCAATTTAACTGGAATTGATAGAACTGCCTTTAAGTCATACAATTTTTCTTAAGTTTTATAAAGTTTATAAACGCTCACTGAACTTTCTCTTAAATTTTCTGATATATATATAAATATATATATATATATTTATAATTCCTTGAATCTTCTAAAGTTTTCAGATCAACCATAGAACTCTCGGAATATCCCGTAATTCCAAGGAACTCTTTGTAAGTAGCAGCAAATTTCCTTAAATTAATGGGATATTTGTGATGTTATCTGATCGACCTCGAAGTACTCGGCCCTTCACTGAAGATAACGAAACAATCTAAAAATATCTAAATTTCTTAGAAGTTCTCTGGATTTTCTTGAAAATATCGGTGCTTGCTAAAAGTTATAGAATTTTTTTAATTAATGGAACTTCGTTGATGTTCTCTTATCAACTCTCTTAATTATCAACATTATCCGGATGTTCATATAATTTTTATTGCGTTCCAGAAATTTTCTTTGAGTAATCCGAAGTTTCCGGAAATTCTTTTAAAGTTTCTGCAATTTCCTTGAAATCTTTTTAACTGCCCTTTAAGGTGATTCCTTGTAGAGTCCATAAATCGCCGCCACGAGGACTATACATGCACTTCCACTTCGAATTTTCAATCACACAAATCTCAGATTAGTGCCTCATTTCACCTGAAATTGCTACTTTATGTATGCTGCAGTGCAGCGAACGTAGAGTACCAGTTTAATTGTGCCACGTGTCCTGGAAGCTGATATTTGTGCACTTGAAGTTTCGAAGTGATTACTAGAATAAGGATCTCACAGCGAAACACCTTAATTTTATGATCTGTCTTGATGTTCTCGGAGCTTCCCTAAAGCTCTCAATTCTAATGAAGATCTCGGTTCTGCTTTAAAATAAATGGTATTCGCGTGAAAACCTTTAAACTTCCATGGAATTTTCTGGATTTCTGTGATGTTCCTGAAATATTTCTGAAGTTTTCATAAATATTCTGAAGGTCTCTGTACTGAATCTCTCGGAACATCTTAAGGGTTCTCGATTTTATGTCAGCACATCATGCTCACGCTTGTATATTTTTAAACCAATCCAATAATCTGGGCTACAATTTCGGGGACTTCTGCTTAAGATCTCTGGAATTCCCCAAAGATCTCTAGATCTAGTTTTTCTGAGATAAAGAGAACTTGTTAAAAGTTTCCACAATTTTGCTAGTACGAAACTTCTTAATATTGTGATCTTAGACTTACTAAAATGAAGTAAAGCTGTTTCTTTAAAACTGATTGTCATGACTTTAAAATGTTTGCATTAATTGTTGTTGTTGTTTTACAAAAAAAAAATCATATTTTTAACGCATTTCATAAATAGCTCTCTTATTATAAACCTGGAAATTATCCGCTAAAGTTATGGAAAACCTGGAAAACGTAAAGAACTTTATTTAGCCAAATGAGTGGACACCCTGTAGATAGAGAAAGATGATTAAACGTAAAAAAAAACTCTATACAAGGTCGTCAACTTCGAATTATTCAAAAATTAGAACAAAATGTAGGCCATCCTACACACTGCAAGAAGAATAATCAATCGTGAAATAAATTCACGATAAAAAAAGTTTAAAATAGTGACTGATTACAAAAAACAGTGACTTTAGTGACTTGGCCTTAAAAAAGGAAACTTTTTAGTGACTTGCTTGAAAAAAGTGACCAAGTCACTAAAAAGTGACTCGCTACCAGCCCTGCAACGGTTATATATACTGATTCTGATGTATCGATTTAGGCTTTAAAGGATCCCATCACTTTCCAAAGTGAATGCAAATCTAATTAACCCTTCCCACTAAGAAAAACATCCTTCTCGTGACAGATGTGGAGATGCAGAGGCATACTAACGGATGTCAAACAATCATTCCCCTCCCCGATAACCGTAAGGACGTGACCGGCACCGTTGTTGATCTTGAAAGTGCTGATTCACCGGAGTTCTAACACTGATAATGGATTGCAAATTCCAATCCCCATTCGTTAGTTGATTCTTTGTAAAAAAAATTCACTGGATCTGTATACCTTATTACGTTGTTTTTCTTTTAAATTGTACTACTATTGTAACACTTTCACTTCCACTATCCACTTTCACTATTTACTTTGACTATCACTTTAAAAAAAACTATAATAGATACGTATTTCGTTTACTACTTGCAAACGTCTTCAGTGTCTAGTGATAGACTCAGAAACTGGAGAAGTTTGCAAGAAGTAAATGAATTACGTATCTGTTATGGTTTTTCATGTGATAGTGAAAATAAATAGGGAAAGTGAATACAATATTGAATAACTAACTAGATAAATGCAACCCTACAAAGGCTCTCGTGCTTATGCTCCTGAGTAATTTTATCTCATATTGATTCACCCTGTAAATGTTTGGCCACGTGCTCCCCTCACCTAGAGCCATACTGAAATCAAACGAAATAGGCCAACAAAAGCATTACATCTGTAAACACGGATGAACGCAATTGAGTGACACTTTCCGCCACACAAACAGGAATCCGCGTCGAAGCGGAAATTATTACGCGAATTACATGATTGGAAAATGTTACTCGATTCCGCTTCCATCGGTGTTGCATTGCTCGTTTTCCACTCAGATGCTCCTCCAATTTAAACCGGGTGTGACAAACATTCGCACTGGATGCATTCGGTTCCGATTCCCGCCACGCATAGATAACGGAATAATAGTTTTCCTTTGATGTTCTCCTGCTGTCGAAATGGGAATTCAACTGTTTTATGTCCAAATAACGCTTTATTTTATTGGTCCGATAGTGGAAGCAAGTGGTGATAAAAACCAGCACCCAGCCGAGGGGTCGTATTTAAGAGTTTGGAAATGCTGGAAGTTACGCACGATTTCGGTTCCCTAATTACATCGCACCTTCAATAAAAGACAATGAAAACGGTGGCAACTAAACAAACATCAAACAACGATAAACTCGGTTGAACTTTTCCAGGGTTGGCGGTTGGATTGGGAAAAGGACTGTTATTGGATAAAGTTCACACAATTAGTCCGATGGTGGATGGCGTGTAGAAAATTGACTCAACTTTTGGCTGCTCAGAGTTCAACTACCACGTGCTTTTATCATTAAGTTACGTTAGCTTTCCACTTACAATCCCAAATACGGTATGCGTACACCATTCAGAAAGTGCGTGGATTGTATGTATACATAGGATTCAAAAAGTTCGTTAGACAATAATGCAACTGTTAGCAAATTAAACTCGTTCCTGTAGCAACGATATGTAAGCACTTAATACCTACCGGAAGAGAGCAAACGTAGAGCTTGGAATAGATAGACAAAAGCAAAAAAAAAACAGCACCGGTGCTTCAGTAGTTTTCAAATCAAACAAATTGCACTTTGGCACGCTAGGTAAAAGATAACCCTTTACTTTATCACATCCCTATCTCCTTGTTATAGTTCGTCACCCTCGCTATAGTTCATACCGTTCAACACTTCAAATCCTTCCATCTTTTTACGATATCACTACAAGAAATTAACCACACACGAATAATCGGAAAACGCTTTCCACTAGATTAAGCGCCACTAAAACTCTTTTCTTGCTTTTCCCCATTAAAGCTAATATAATATACTGTAAAAACAAAAACTAAAAGTTTGTGCAATCGAGAATGAACTAACACGTACACAAGCGAAAAGTGACTGACCTCAGCCGCGCTCTGCGAGTAGCGAGTAGTTTGAATGCATTTTTTGTTTTATTTCACTCGAAAAACTTAATTAAAAACACTCCCCTCGGAAAAGTTATCCTCCACTCTAACTTTTTTGTTATGTTCCGATTTATATCCACACCGAGTTATTGTCACAACCGTTTCATTTTAATTTAATTTTAAATCCCGTTCCTGCATCCCCTCGCCGCTCCTTGGCCTGAGCGATCGGAACCGTGTTACTAATTCAAACTTTTCTATCTTTTCTCTTTCCCCCTCCATCTCGGTGGTTTCCGTCCGTTGTGACTGCCATTCGTTCTACTGAACAGGCGTCTAGCTGACGAAGACGATGAGCTATCGGAGGTGCAACCGGATGCCGTTCCCCCGGAGGTGCGGGAATGGTTGGCGTCGACTTTCACCCGCCAGCTCGGTACCACTCGGAAGCGGTCCGACGAGAAGCCCAAGTTCCGCTCGGTGGCCCACGCGATCCGGGCGGGCATCTTCGTCGATCGGATCTACCGACGCATCTCAAGCACGGCGCTGATGCAGTTCCCGCCCGAGGTTGTCAAGGTTTTGAAGGTGAGTGGAATTTGGTTTGTACATTGCATTCAGATTGTATAGCTAACAAAACAAGTCATATAAAACAGCAAAATAGGGTTATCTTCCATTTAATTCCACTTAATTAATTTTGGTATCCATGACAGATACGTATTTCGACTACAATGTGCAGTCTTCATCAGTGCCATTCCCACCAAAGAACTTATCAAAATCTAACCCCCTTAAGTACTCATCCCCTAGGTATAAAAGTCAAGATCACAGGTATATAAATGAAACTACAATGTGTTGAATCGGAACCTACCTAACTAATTAAAACCAAAGATTTAAGTAAGCTAAAGGAGAAAAATCTATTCAACTCTCTAATAAGGAAAATCCCAAAGGCTTGGTAGCCATCATAATGAAGTAATGAAATTGGGTTGTTAGCGGAATGCTTTAATAAAACAGCAAAATAGGGTTATCTTCCATTTAATTCCACTTAATTAATTTTGGTATCCATGACAGATACGTATTTCGACTACAATGTGCAGTCTTCATCAGTGCCATTCCCACTAAAGAACTTATCAAAATCTAACCCCCTTAAGTACTCATCCCCTAGGTATAAAAGTCAAGATCACAGGTATATAAATGAAACTACAATGTGTTGAATCGGAACCTACCTAACTAATTAAAACCAAAGATTTAAGTAAGCTAAAGGAGAAAAATCTATTCAACTCTCTAATAAGGAAAATCCCAAAGGCTTGGTAGCCATCATAATGAAGTAATGAAATTGGGTTGTTAGCGGAATGCTTTAATAAAACAGCAAAATAGGGTTATCTTCCATTTAATTCCACTTAATTAATTTTGGTATCCATGACAGATACGTATTTCGACTACAATGTGCAGTCTTCATCAGTGCCATTCCCACTAAAGAACTTATCAAAATCTAACCCCCTTAAGTACTCATCCCCTAGGTATAAAAGTCAAGATCACAGGTATATAAATGAAACTACAATGTGTTGAATCGGAACCTACCTAACTAATTAAAACCAAAGATTTAAGTAAGCTAAAGGAGAAAAATCTATTCAACTCTCTAATAAGGAAAATCCCAAAGGCTTGGTAGCCATCATAATGAAGTAATGAAATTGGGTTGTTAGCGGAATGCTTTAATAAAACAGCAAAATAGGGTTATCTTCCATTTAATTCCACTTAATTAATTTTGGTATCCATGACAGATACGTATTTCGACTACAATGTGCAGTCTTCATCAGTGCCATTCCCACTAAAGAACCTATCAAAATCTAACCCCCTTAAGTACTCATCCCCTAGGTATAAAAGTCAAGATCACAGGTATATAAATGAAACTACAATGTGTTGAATCGGAACCTACCTAACTAATTAAAACCAAAGATTTAAGTAAGCTAAAGGAGAAAAATCTATTCAACTCTCTAATAAGGAAAATCCCAAAGGCTTGGTAGCCATCATAATGAAGTAATGAAATTGGGTTGTTAGCGGAATGCTTTAATAAAACAGCAAAATAGGGTTATCTTCCATTTAATTCCACTTAATTAATTTTGGTATCCATGACAGATACGTATTTCGACTACAATGTGCAGTCTTCATCAGTGCCATTCCCACTAAAGAACTTATCAAAATCTAACCCCCTTAAGTACTCATCCCCTAGGTATAAAAGTCAAGATCACAGGTATATAAATGAAACTACAATGTGTTGAATCGGAACCTACCTAACTAATTAAAACCAAAGATTTAAGTAAGCTAAAGGAGAAAAATCTATTCAACTCTCTAATAAGGAAAATCCCAAAGGCTTGGTAGCCATCATAATGAAGTAATGAAATTGGGTTGTTAGCGGAATGCTTTAATAAAACAGCAAAATAGGGTTATCTTCCATTTAATTCCACTTAATTAATTTTGGTATCCATGACAGATACGTATTTCGACTACAATGTGCAGTCTTCATCAGTGCCATTCCCACTAAAGAACTTATCAAAATCTAACCCCCTTAAGTACTCATCCCCTAGGTATAAAAGTCAAGATCACAGGTATATAAATGAAACTACACTGTGTTGAATCGGAACCTACCTAACTAATTAAAACCAAAGATTTAAGTAAGCTAAAGGAGAAAAATCTATTCAACTCTCTAATAAGGAAAATCCCAAAGGCTTGGTAGCCATCATAATGAAGTAATGAAATTGGGTTGTTAGCGGAATGCTTTAATAAAACAGCAAAATAGGGTTATCTTCCATTTAATTCCACTTAATTAATTTTGGTATCCATGACAGATACGTATTTCGACTACAATGTGCAGTCTTCATCAGTGCCATTCCCACTAAAGAACTTATCAAAATCTAACCCCCTTAAGTACTCATCCCCTAGGTATAAAAGTCAAGATCACAGGTATATAAATGAAACTACAATGTGTTGAATCGGAACCTACCTAACTAATTAAAACCAAAGATTTAAGTAAGCTAAAGGAGAAAAATCTATTCAACTCTCTAATAAGGAAAATCCCAAAGGCTTGGTAGCCATCATAATGAAGTAATGAAATTGGGTTGTTAGCGGAATGCTTTAATAAAACAGCAAAATAGGGTTATCTTCCATTTAATTCCACTTAATTAATTTTGGTATCCATGACAGATACGTATTTCGACTACAATGTGCAGTCTTCATCAGTGCCATTCCCACTAAAGAACTTATCAAAATCTAACCCCCTTAAGTACTCATCCCCTAGGTATTTTGGTATCCATGACAGATACGTATTTCGACTACAATGTGCAGTCTTCATCAGTGCCATTCCCACTAAAGAACTTATCAAAATCTAACCCCCTTAAGTACTCATCCCCTAGGTATAAAAGTCAAGATCACAGGTATATAAATGAAACTACAATGTGTTGAATCGGAACCTACCTAACTAATTAAAACCAAAGATTTAAGTAAGCTAAAGGAGAAAAATCTATTCAACTCTCTAATAAGGAAAATCCCAAAGGCTTGGTAGCCATCATAATGAAGTAATGAAATTGGGTTGTTAGCGGAATGCTTTAATAAAACAGCAAAATAGGGTTATCTTCCATTTAATTCCACTTAATTAATTTTGGTATCCATGACAGATACGTATTTCGACTACAATGTGCAGTCTTCATCAGTGTCATTCCCACTAAAGAACTTATCAAAATCTAACCCCCTTAAGTACTCATCCCCTAGGTAAAAAAGTCAAGATCATAGGTATAAAAATGAAACTACAATGTGTTGAATCGGAACCTACCTAACTAATAAAAACCAAAGATTTAAGTAAGCTAAAGGAGAAAAATCTATTCAACTCTCTAATAAGGAAAATCCCAAAGGCTTGGTAACCATCATAATGAAGTAATGAAAATGGGTTGTTAGCGGAATGCTTTAATAAAACAGCAAAAAAAGGTTATCTTCCATTTTATTAAAGCATTCCGCTAACAACCCAATTTCATTACTTCATTATGATGGCTACCAAGCCTTTGGGATTTTCCTTATTAGAGAGTTGAATAGATTTTTCTCCTTTAGCTTACTTAAATCTTTGGTTTTAATTAGTTAGGTAGGTTCCGATTCAACACATTGTAGTTTCATTTATATACCTGTGATCTTGACTTTTATACCTAGGGGATGAGTACTTAAGGGGGTTAGATTTTGATAGGTTCTTTAGTGGGAATGGCACTGATGAAGACTGCACATTGTAGTCGAAATACGTATCTGTCATGGATACCAAAATTAATTAAGTGGAATTAAATGGAAGATAACCCTATTTTGCTGTTTTATTAAAGCATTCCGCTAACAACCCAATTTCATTACTTCAAAACAAGTCAGTTTCCGGCTCTAATGGTGGTATAGGGGAGAGGGGGGCAAGCTGGCCACAGTAACGAAACTCGAATATAATTTCACAATTTTGACCAGAAAATTATTCTTTCTATACCCTACAGAAGCTTCAAGGGTTGACCTATGAAGAACTTGAAGAGCAATCATACAAATATATTTAATTCGATTAAAATTCAAAAGAAAATTTAATTTTTTCTGGCACAGTTTTTGGTGAAGTCATGTTTATTAAGGTTCATTAAAATTACACAATCTTTCAATATGTTTTTATGAAATTTCACTTGTTAGAATTTTTTTCCAATATTTTTTTTTTATCATAAATTAGTCTTAACTGTGATGTACTACGGAATGAATGTTAGGCACTGTTATCCTTATAAGTTGAAGTTTTAGAGAACTGGCTCGAGACATGCCTTGATTTTAGTAAATTAAATATATTGGCTGGTGATTTTAATATTAATTGGCGTGATAACCATAATTCGAATCATATGAAGCGTTTAGCTGAGTTTTTTAATTTAAAGCAAACGGTAAATGAATATACGCGTATTTCCAGGCACAGTAGAACTTTAAATGACCACGTTTATTCCAATTTTGATTCTATTTGTTCAGTTACGGATACTGATTTGAAAATAAACGATCATGAGACCTTAGTGATTAATGTCTTAGATCATGTTAACGATAACGATAATTTTGTAAAATTGAAGTGCTGGAAGAAATATTTGTTTATTTGTTTATTTGTTATGGTTGCATCAACAGACTAGAAATAGTCCCAATGATGTGTTGTAAAAAGTACAGATTATACAGACGACATACATATACTACAGTTACTACAGTTACAAACAAAAATAACTAAGAAAGCATTGTCAAGTTAATAAAAATTTATAAGTCTTAAATTTTACGCTTAGCTGTTGGGCATCAAGCGCCTTCGGTCAGCAAAAAAGGCAGAGAATCTTCGGCGAAGCATATTCCGTGTCAAGTGGAAATCGAACATCGACGCTACTCGGTTGAACACTAGCTGCAAGCCGTAAATAGCGCTCCCTATGCTATAATTAGTTCGAAGAAGTGGAAGTCTCAGCATAAGACTGTTGCGCAGTGATCGAGGTTGAACATTAATGTTCACTTGTTGCAGAATTGCTTCGCAGTCGATTCTTCCTTGCAGAGTATCGGCGACGGTTAAGGCTCTGAAAACA